AAAAAAAAAAAAAAAGAAGCGGTCCAAAGCCTGGAAGAAGTGGTAGTCAGTTGGTTCAAGGTCTGCTGAATACAGTGGATGACAGAGAGTTTCCGAGTCCAGCTTCTGTAGTTTGAGCAGCGTTGTTTGTGCGACATGTGGTTGAGCCTTGTCTTGCAAGAGGATTGACCTGTCTCTATTCACCAATCTTGGCTGCTTAATTACAAGCATCCTCATCATTTCATCCAATTGGTTGCATTAGACATCCCCTATAATGGATTGACTAGGTTTCATGAAGCTGTAGTGGATCATACCAGCGATGGACCAAACAGACACCATTAGCTTTTTTAGAAGAATATTTGGTTTTGGACTGTGTCTTGGTATTTCATCTTTATCCAACCATTGTGCCGAATGCTTGTTATTGTCAAAAAGAATCCATTTTTCATCACAAGTAACAATACGGTGTAGAAATGGTTTATCCTTATATCGTGGCAGCAAAGAAAGGCAAGCTTTGAGACAATTTCTCTTCTGATGCTCGTTTTATTCAGGAAATAGTAACGTCAAACCTGCTGCATTAATTCACACGTAGGTTGAGATGGATTCACTTCCACTACAGCTTTCAGCTCATCATTGTCTACCTTAGTTTCAGGTTACCCATGTGGTTCATTTTCAAGATTAAAATCACCAGAACAGAACTTCTCAAACTATGGATGTACTGTGCGTTCATTAGCCACATCTTCCCAAATACTTTATTGATAATTTTGAGCTGTCTGCACTACATTGGTTCCATAATGGAACTCATATTTGAAAATAACCTGAATTTTTGACTTATCCACGTTTCACAAAAATGGCTTTTAAAAAAAATTTGAAAGATTATCACAAGCCAAAACATGCATTTGAAAGACTAAGGAGACTGAGGATGTTTCCTTCATAACAAAAATAAAACAAAAAGTGTCAAAGTGAAATGTTAGAGATATAAACTGTCACATTTAGTACTTAAGGAAACCAGACATTTCATATTTAATAACCATATGTAGTATATATGCTTTATATGTATGTATATAAAATATATCCCTCCTATCTGCATATTTTTTTCTATTTATATTTTAATGCCCTGCTGATGAAATGCCTTTTATCAAGCTACCTCAAATCCCTGAAAAGGAGTAGGTAAGTTGTACATGAAAAAAAAAAATCAATTGGGATGATAAACACAAAGCTTTAAGAACATGTTATAAAAGCCCAAATCTTATATGTTAAAAGACAATATAATATATAATATAGTATACTAATATATTTGGTTTTCAATCCTGACCCAGACATTCCTGACTTTGGTCAATGTCTTAGTCTGTGATTCAGCTTCCCTATCTGCAAAAGGGAGAAAATGGGGGTACCTCCTTACAGGGTTATTTTGAGGAATAACTGTATTTGAGGAATAAATGAAGCACTTAGAACAGTAAGCACGAAAAATGGTTTGCTTATGTGCCAATGTTAAACTCTACTGGTAGGTGCTATAATCAAAACAGCCCATCCCATTAGGCTCCAGGACTCCGTCCATTCCAGCGCGACAAGTGATGCTCACCTACAGTGGCCGACGCCGATGAGAGCAGAGACTTGCCCCAGGAGCCCCAGCCTGCCCATCCTCCTCCACCTGGCGGGGAGTCCACAGCCTGTAGAAAACACATCAGCCACAGGTTAGCAATTCAGTTCATCCCTAAATGGAAAAGCATCCACTGGTTTGAAACAAAGAGAAGCCTTAAAAAAAAAATCACTCACAATCACATCTCACTGGTTTCTAGTTTATAAGGATCATAAAGGAATACGCTGACCCACACTGCAATCTGTACTTTGGAAGCAAACTGATTAGTAGTGGTGCTGGCTTCTGAGGTCTTGGTTTGAAGTGAGAAGGGAGTTTGACGTTAACTGAGCCTCAATTCTCTCTTTATCTGCAAGACAGGGACAAGGGCTGTGTGGGGGAAAAGATGCAACACATTAGGGCACAAGAGTGATTTGAAAAAGTTCAAGATAGCCTGGACCCAGGCAATTCTTACAGAGCTAAACAAATGTGCTCTTCAAGGTGGAGTTAATGTTCCAACCTCTGGGACGGTAGGCGGGAGCCTTGGCGTGGATAGGCAACGTGTCTAGAAAAGTGACCACAAACAGTGCACAGGAAGCTCGGCGAGGTAGACACCTTTGATTCGAGGAGTCTGCTCCACTTCAGTGACCCCTGTAACACATGAGGAAGACTGTCCCTGGCCTCATTGGATGCAAATTCTTTTGCCTAGGCTTTTGGAATTGGGACTGAGAGACTGTGGTTCAGTGTGAGCTGTCTGAATGGAAGATGAAAACCCAGGCTATGTGGGTGACCATATGCTCTACCTCCCATGCAGACTACATATTAAGAGACAGTACAGTGTGCAGAATGAAGGAGATAGGTCAGAAGAGCTGGCTGGATTTCTGATGGCTTCTCAGCCCCTGGTTTCTGTCCCTCCCCAGGGCCCTGCTGCATTCCTGTCTTTGCAGTCTACGAGATTCCCTCTTATTCTTGCTCACTCTTTTTTTTTTCAATGTTTTGGTCACTGATATATCCCCAGAGCCTATAAGAGTGCCTGGAATGTAACAAGTGCTTAATAAATGTCTGTTGAATAAATGACTGAAATGCACCCATTTTCTCAGTTAGGTGTGCATTCATTTCTGTTACTTGCAACCAACGAGTTCTGACTCAGTGAAACCACAGCTTTCCGTTTTTATCTGGGAATACATTCTAGAAAACAAGGTGAGCATAAATACATTAGGATTTAACTATGTGAAGAATCATAGCTCTTTCACTCAAAAAAGAAGGACAAAGAAAAAGAAAGAAGTTAAGGAGGAAGTGGAAAATGCCTACAGAGCTTGTAGACTCTGTAATGTTCCACCCACAGCGAGCGCCTCCCTCTTTCTCCCGCAGTCTTCCACCCTTGCAGATAGGGGTGGCCGTGAGAAACAGTTTTTGACCAATTCGGTGATACCCAACCTTTTTGGCTTCAGGGACCGTTTTCATGGAAGACAATTTTTCCACGGATGGCTGGGGATGGGGGGGGATGGTTTCGGGACGATTCAAGCGCATTACATTTATCATACACTTTATTTCTATTATTATTACATTGTAATATATAATGACAGAATTATACAACTCACCATACATTGGGGACCCCTGAGATATACAAATGGGAAAGTTTTTGCTTTCCTGATATATTACATGGTTATGGCCGAAGCAATCATTTCTCCTGTTGGGAGGGAAAGGCCAGGGAATCCCAGACTCACTGGTCCTGGCTCTGCGGAGCTACTAAACCAGCATGGCCAGCTGCCTCTCTCTACTCCTCTATTAAGTGAGAAAAAAAGTAGTTTGTAAACTACTATATGTTAGATTTTAGTTATTTCCACCTAAATGTGTTCCTAACAGATTCACCTAGTAAATATCAAACACCATCCATCAGCGCAGAGTTCTATTCAAGAGAAAAGGTTATGGAATTAAATTGCTTGGATTTGACTCCAGGCTTTGCCATTTTGGGCAATAAATTACTCAAGTTCTTTTAAGCCTTCATTTCCCTATTACAACAAGAAATGTTAAGTATAAGAACCAATAATCTCAGAGGGTTATTGTGAAGATTGAAAAAAAATTTATATAAAGTTGTAAACATAGTGTCTGGCATATAATAAATACTCCATAAATGTTAGCTAGTATAATGAGAAGAAACTATACTTTTAAGACTAAGAAGCAAAAAGCTTTGAAAGTTGGCTGTCATTATTTTCTTTCTGTCTGGAAACCATGAGACACTTGTTAACACAAATGGAAATACTCATGACTCATGACTGTCTGCTTTCATTTTTGGTGTCTACACTGATTTACTTCACTTCAGCAATGGAACCCAGTGGCAATTTTATACCATCATGAAGGCAGATGGAGGTTGGTGATTAATATCACTCTTTTAGAAGACAAATCACTACCTATGATTAGGAACAGTTAATAGAGTTAGGGGTGACAGCTTCTGACTCAGATTTACAATATTTATTATGCTCTGACAGCCGGTAATTGACTAGCAAATGGAAATAAATGTTAAATGAATCTAGAACTTTTTGCTGTATAATAAGTGACTACTTCAACTGCTTTATTAATAAAGTCCTCTGACATTAAACTGTGACTTCCTGATTAGCTACAAAGAATATTTGTTATCAATGGCAAATACTCTAATGACTAAATACACATATGTAATATAAAAACATCAACTAAATGTTAAACATCAATTATATCTCATTATGTATATTGGCTCCACTTTAAATGACCTTAATGTCACATACTTATGAGACTATAAAATAGGCAGCATGGCTCTCAAATCTCCCATTACCAAATACAGTTATTTTAAAGCTTTTTTCTCACTCTCCCCCTTGTAACTCCCACCATGTTTAACAGACAACTTTGCATCCTAATTCACAGAGAAAACAGAAGCCATCAGATGAGAGCTCGCTCAACTTCCCGTCTACTCCCCATACACACTCAGAAGAATAACCTCATATGTTAACTTGGCTTGGTCAACAGGGATATCCAAAACTCAACTGGGGATCATCTAAACACTGTGTGGTTCTAAGAATGTGAAAGAATGCAGGATTCTATCAAGTTCAAATTTCTTTAAATAGAAAAGATATTTACATACCTAGTATCCCATTTAAAGGTCTTTATCATTAAATACAAAACACATTCATTTATTTTATTTACGTATTTTTATTTATTTATTTATTTAGAAACAGAGTCTTGCTCTGTCACCTGGGCTAGAGTACAGTGGTGTCATCATAGCTTATTGAAACCTCAAACTCCCGGCTCAAGTGATCGTTCTGTCTCAGCCTCCTGAATAGCTGAGATTACAGGCACGCACCACCATGCCCAGATAATTTTTGTATTTTGTTGTAGAGATGGGGTCTCATTCTTGTTCAGTCTGGTCTCCAACTCCTGACCTCAAGCCATCCTCCCACCTCAGCCTCCCAAAGTGCTAGGAATACAGGTGTTAGCCATGGCTTCCAACCCATTTATTTATTTTAGGCTAGCAAGTTTAAAGGTATTGTTAGACAGAAAAAAATTTACAAATCTTAGAATTCCATCAAATTCAAAGGTCTTTAACATTTAGATGGAAAATATATGTACCTATCTTAAAGATCAAAGATCAACCTGGTTGTCTCGATCCTATCTGCTTGAGCAGATTGAGAATCAGGGACTGTGTATAACTTGCATCCCAGGATGTGGGCAATGGGACCTATGAGACCAAACCTTTGCTAAGTTTTGTAATTTGTTACATAGCTACTCCAAAAAGGGGCTCAGTACGACAGTTGGGAGGATGTAAATTGCTCTGGAGCCTGCAGCTCCATCAAAAGATCTGATTGAAAGTGGCCTCGGTTATTTCCAAGTAATTTTCTTCCTTGGTGAGTACGCTTCATTCAACTCTATGATTTAAGAATTAAATATAGAAAGGCTATCCTATTAATACTTTTATGCATATTTGGTCTTTTCTGTACTACTGATATTTAAGGAATCTGACCTATTAGGGTGACAATTTTTGAAAAGCAATTTAAACTGAATAATTGAATTCTTAGACTTCTGATTTTAAGTTGAAATCTTTCTAAGTTTATGCATACTTTTACAACATCTAAGAGGTCTTTAAGTCCATTCTATAAATTTAATTCAATGGCTTTATAACCATTATTAAGTACTCAGCAAGGTTTTATATAAGTAGATAAATGAGGTACTTAAAAAGGAAATAGAATGTATTACAATTATACATTTATACACTTACACACAAATGCAGTTTAAAATATTTGAATGTGTTTAAATTGGTAAAAAGGATTAAACCAAACATTAATCAAAAGTCCCTTTAAAGTGACTGTTCGATTTGGCTAGACGTCTAAACAGAGTAAGATTTGTGAGATGAACGTAAAGCCTAAGGAAGAACCGAGTTTTTGAATTTGTAATCTTAACCAATTGAACATCAATTGTTTAAACCAAATTAAACGAGTAGTTCTTTTTATGCACAAAAGATACACTGGCTTACACCAAAAACCCATCTAAACACAAATCTAACTATACTACTCCCTGACTCGAAATGACTTCCGCCCTTTTATTATTACGGAAATGACGTCTTCCTCTGAGTTACCACTATCTTTTCCACTCTAAATCCTCCACCCTCCGTAGATTGGTTTCTCAACCAATAGTTCTCTATACAGGCTACTTGCCACATTTAATCACTCACACGATTCCTCCATTTTCAAACCAACAAATGAAAATCACAGGGACAAAACGTTTCTTTCAAATCTATCTGTTGTCTGCTCTAAATCTTTCTTCTTTACCCCTTTAAAACGGTACTTACCTTCTGTATCCACCCCCTTTTCACGCCTCCACCGCCACAGCAAGACTCCCTCAGATTCCTATCAAGGTCACAATGGCTTCCTGTTGTCAAAGCCCTGGTCCCATTTTAGCCTTTTTATAACTTGACCTCTCAGTAGCTCCAAAGCTTAACTACTTATACATCCTTAGAGCATTCTGTTCTGATGGCGTCCCTGCCCTATCTTCTGACTCTTACTTTTTTGCCATCCTTTAGTATTGTGATTTCAGTTGTTTTACTTTAGAATGTTTCTAAATGCATAT